AAAGTGTGGAGATGCGTTGGTTGGAATTACGTTGAGAGACAGAATGAGGACCCTAAGAACTGGGGAAGAAATGGAGATTAAATGACAAATTCAAAGTACTAAGAAAATCAAATTGCCTTGGGCATGATGTGTCGCAAGGATTGATGGCCAACGGTCAAGAATAATGATGGAATGGCAGCCAAGGCAGGCACTGTCTGAGAGGCCGTCTGCTGCGGAGATGGAGCAATGAAATCAACTCGTGTGTAGGCGGATTATTACTACATCGCACGATTATAAGAGATGGCGATGCCTTGGGTAGGCCTTCATCCGGCAGCATATCAATCATGGCTGATGATGACGAAGATAAGGGTGATAAAACGCAACTGCTCGAGACGTTTTCGGGCGACAGATAAAATTCAAACTTCAGCGTGTGCACTAATTCTGCCTGCTACGTGTGCAGGAAGCCGCTGAGAAAGATCCCCGAAGGCGGAATGGGAAAGTAGACGAGGCGCAATTAATGAGGATAATGTGACGCCGCTTAGTAATATCGGACAATCCAGCGAGCGCAGGGGCTGCAGAGGTAATGTGTAGGGATCCCGTGGGTGAACGGCTTCATCATTTTAATTAATATGAACTGCACGCACACTGTTCTACTGGTGAATGAAAGCATTACCACACTGATGTCACCACGATCCCATCACCAAATCCCACGCGGACGCCATCGCACGCTGTTCCTTCCACTTTCTGTATCATTAGCGTATTTTTTAAATTAAATTAGTGTTCAAAGAACAATTTTTACATCTGGCCCCTCTCGTCACTTGCCTCTTAAAATAATAAAAATAGAAACAAATTCTATTTTACGAGGCAAGGCCCACTGAGCTTTTTTTTCAGAAGCAACCTGGCCACAAATGATAGCTCAACGAGGTGGCTTATCGTGTGCAAATGTACCGGAGCAAAATATTCCTAAACCGCATGTGTCTAGATGTGGGGGAAGAAACTGGAGGACCCGGAGAAAAATCCACGCGACCCACAGGGAGAACACGCAAACTCAAAATAAACGATTCTAGATTTAAAGCTAGGATCCATACTCTTTGGTTCTATTGGGTAAAGTCACTTTACCCAATAGAACCAAAGAGTATCAAAATAAACGGGCATCGGGGTCAGGATCGAACCCACGACGACCTCCTACGTACCAGGAAAGGGAGGTAACATCTCGCCACCGTGGCACCCCTTGTTCCTATTGCGGAGCTTTTTTGTTTTTACCGTAAATGAACGGGAAGGCAAGTCGTGCACGAAACAAATTGTGTCGGTCACACCTGATGGACACACTCTTGCAGCGGCGATGGCCTGATTTGGTTTATGAACTTGCTTTCCCATTTTGAAAACAATCGCATATTAAATTGAGAGATGGAAAAGAATGGAAGGTGCAAAGTACTTCATTGCCTCGGGGCAATTGTTGCCTAAAACCAAACAGCAAAAGGGAAAGGCGCGGCCCTGCAATTGCTTACCTCGTACCACGATGGCAGAGAGGCCTCCTCGAGAGAGGCCCGCTAGAGGGCATTTGGCCTACATTTCCATGCTGCTCAGACGTCAATGGAAGAGGTGCCGATTACCCACAATTTACCCCCCCCCCCGACACGTGACCCCCCAATCTACTGCCGCAAAACCATTTATAGCTGCTGGTGTAGAGGGAGACATGGGGGTTTTAAGACATTTCCTACTGTTTTAACTGCCATAGCGGGAGATCAAATTTAATCCAACCTGCGACCTCTAGATTGCAGGTCCAGTGTGCTAACCCTTACACCACAGCAGCATCCCTCGTGCAATACGTTACCTATATTGCGAATCGATGTACACGGTTCTCTTTTTTAAACATTCTCCAGTGCTACGACCAACAACGAGACTCGAGCAGGCTTTCACCGTTTGAGCGAGAGAGCCCGGCAGACCATAGCACTTCTGACTCTGAAAACGGCGTTTATTTTTTTTTTACCATTACCGAATGCAACACACGGATGCACACCGCTCATGTATATTACAAGACTACATTTCAAAAATGAAATAAACTAGTAGGTGTGATCCATCCATGGGTGACGGGGGGTTTGCAGCATCAGGCTTACATAATGAAACATTAGTGTTTTCATTTTCCCCACTTTTCGAGCCAAACCGAATTGGCCGAGTGTCTATACAAACCGTAGTTAGGAAATGAGGTCAAGGTAGGAAGCACAATGGGTTTGAAGATAACAAAAATCGTGTCCCATTTGCCAGGAGAGGGAAAGGAAACACGAACTGAACAATTGCTTCAATAAAAATGTTCGTCACGAAATATTAACATGGGCACACATGTGAAGAATGCATTTCTTCAATCGAGGTATTGTTTTGTCATTTTTATCTCACGAAAGACAGTAAAATGTGAACGCAAAATGGAAAATAAATATCACAAAATGAATTTAACAAAATAGCATTTTCTCAATTATGTATTTGTGAGAGTATTTTTTTACATTTTACTTTTCATGTTTTGTTCTCGGTTTACTCTCAATAGTTGCCCTAGATAAACATACTTCTGATGCGGTTATTGTTGTTGTGTTCCTCCAAACATATCTCCAGCTTAGTAAATAAAGAGGTGAGCAAGAGAAAGTTTGGACTGCTTTTGGAAAACTGATCTTGATTGTGGAAAAAAAACTCAAACACGTTCATCAATCACACTGCAGGCTGAAAATTAAAAAAAATGATAGGCGATGTTTCAGGCAATGACCCTTCATCAGAGCACATGTGCTTTTAATGCAGTGTCAATGACAAATGTGCTGAGCTTTGGTTATTCGTCCTTGTGCACCACTGCCAACGCTCAAGCTAAATCCCCACAAAACAACAGGCACTGTATTTCATCCCGACAATAGGAGCGCCAAGTACACTCTGAAAGTGACCCTTCTGCGGCAACACTGTGCGACACTACCCCACTTCAACCTATCTTGGAGTGAAGTTGGACCATACCCGAAACTTCCACCTGAAAAAGATAGCCACCAATACCAAAACAACAGTCAACCTGGTCCAGAATCTGGTAAGCACAAGCTGGGGAGCATCAGCACCCATGGTTTCGACATCAACGATGGCCCTTGGGTACTCTGGAGCCGAGTACTGCGCACCAGTATTGACCAAAAACAGTCACACTCGACTTGTTGATGTGCAACTGAACACTGCAACGGGGTGCATCACTGTAAACCCCAAGACCCTGGCTGCCCGTGCTGTCACACATCTCTCCCCCACCCATTCTCTGCAATGCTGCAACCCTCCAGGAAGTCCTGCGAATAGAGGAAACCAGTGGCCTTCCCATTCATCAGGACCTCAATTTCGTCCCTAGTCATCGCTTGAATTCCCGCAAGTCCTTTTGGACCCATGCGCTTAACCTGAAACAATGAGAATTCAACCCCAATGAAGCTTGGAAAGCAGAACGGAATTTAAAAGAACTCGCACACAAACACCTTGTGAAAGACCCAACGCAGGAGATCGCTGGTTTTGATGTTCCACGAAGCTCATAGTCCACCCTAAACCACATCTGCATAAATTACGGCAGATGCGGATACCTGATGCACAAATGGAAAATGAAAAACACTCTAGCGTGCGACTGTGGTCATCCAGAACAGACCATACAACATCTTTCTGGATGGATTGTTGCATTGTGAGATGGTGAAGGATGGAATTGGCTGGGGCAAGCCGTCATCCAGCAGTGGACTGATCACAGCCAATAACAATTATAGATTTTTTTTTTTATTAAACGGACGACACAACAGACGAGGCGCGTACAAAAGTACCGTACTGTATGCTGTCGTATACCAAGGCAATGACAACAGTCAGTGCGACAAATTTATTCTAAAAAGAAAATTAAATGACCCCCCCCTATTCTTCCAAGTAATTGTAGTGTTGTTGTGAGTAGAATTGGAAGGAAATATATAATGTCCGTGAATCCCATTGCTTTTATTCCCCAGCCATAATGAGATGACCGGGGGATAATATACCATCCTCACACAGCATAATATAGGGCTTACCACACCTAGCAAGCAATTTCATTACAAAGGAGAAAAAAAGAGAAGCCAGACAATCTTGGACAAGCTTCGCTGGGATAAAAGGTAGCAAAGCACACGGTGTGGGGTGGGGGGGAGCTTTGTGATCAATAGCTTGGCATTTTGAAGTGAAGGACAGACTTCGCATTCACGTATCGCTTGCTAATTTCCACCTTTTTGCCCCCCTACCCCACCTCAATATCCCAATCGTACTGTGTGGGTCGTAGAGCGATATTAACAAAATAAATTAATGAAAATCCCGACGGTAAATTATCGGCCTATAAATTATGCAAGCATTGCGCAGGCATGGCTTATAATGGGGCGAAACAGAAACATGTTTGTGTACAATTAACACAGGGGGAGAAGGGCTAAACAAATACGAAACGGGAGAGAAAACAGCAGAATTTCTATACAAATGGGTGCCTGCTGTTTGTATGCTGGATGAAACGGCACTCGGAGGGGGGAAAAAACAATTCAAGTCGGAAAAGAGATTCTGTTTTTGGGCTCACAGATTGTTTGCTGGATAGGGCATCTTCTCAGCACAGCATACAAAGCGGCTGGATGCTGCTGCGCAATGACACTTATCTTTACAAATGACACGAGGTTGCAGAAAATATTGAAATGTGTTTTCTAAACGGAACGTGTAGGTTGATGGTAAACGGCGGTGTATGAATGTACTGTATTTTTCTGCGATCAATGTAAATTACAGTTCTTTGTAGTACCTGTAATATTTAAAGAATAAGGGCCATTGCCTGAAACGTCACTCATGATGTTTTCCTTCACAGCGGTGTTGTTGACAAAATGTGTTGAGTTTGGGTTATTCGGTCCTGTGAACCACTGCCAATATAGCACATATACATTTGTTTATGTTTTCATGGAAAAAAATGAGTAAAATTTGCCAAATGCTTGGCAACTTAAAATGTACGGCAAAAGCATCTGACCATTGAGCGTTCTGTGCATACTCACGTATTCCCGGACATTTTTCGTCCTCACAGCTTTGTAGGATGAATACGCTGGGTACAATATGCCGAACATCAGCCTGCAACAACATACGGACAGAGGATGACAAAGCAGCAATGCATTTTGCACGTGAAAATAAAAGCAGGATATTTAGGATTACAATATGAATACATTGTTTTTTTTTCCATCTGCAAAACAACAACAGCCAGCATACGACACAATTAATGGGACTTTTATTTCATAGAAAATTGACTCATTGTGAAAAAATTGCAGCCCTTCATTGATCATTCATTGACGAAAAGGCGTTCCAAACGTGATAGCTGGAGGCGACTGCCGGTCTGTTTTGTAAACGTTACACGCTCCATCAGTTGCTAGGAAACGAGGCCAAAGAGAAAAAAACACAATGGGAGAATGGTTTTTCAAGTCCCAAACGCTGGCTTTTCCTGTCTCACCAGTTTTACAGGATGGAAACGACTGATCGATTCCACCCTTTTCTGCACAAGCACCAACACACACCACACGTCTTTAAACAACGGGATTATACCATGCTTGGCAACTTCTTTCATATTTGGGCTTCACACAGCACACCAAATATAAATTTAACCGGCTCGCATTGATTGGCTGTGACCACGGTCGAACAGGCCAGAGTCCGCTGCCGAATACAGCGGCATGGTTATCCGGACGAGCCCGTGTGCATACTTGGGGTTATTAAGCACGTGACTGTCAATGTATTGCTCAACAGGCATTCTTACACTCAAGATACGTGTATGGAATTTGAGCTTTGTGAGAACGTTGTTTAATTTGTCAAATTGGTTTCCAAATGTATACGCTTAAGTTAGATTTAGGCTTACAAAGGCACAAGCCGTGAAAACGAGATGAACAGAGAAACTATACAAACGAGACCGTGATTATGAGATCTAACATAATCGATTATTTAATAAAATCGGGACCTGCATCGTGACAGATAAGTGAATTGTTAGAGGGGGGGGGGTGAAAGGCTTCAGGCCTGCTAAGAGAAACTGCAACTCCTTTTGGTACCACATCGGAATCTCGATCACCTAAGTATGTGTCTGGCTGGATTCGGTTAGATCCATGCTGCACTGCTTAAGCCCGGGCAGTAGGCCAGGCAGGACATGTGAGAGCACGGTGTCCATTTGGATGTACTTGCAAGTTTAAGTATCAATTAAATAGTTTGTATTGTTCGTCGATGCTCAACCTGTCACTGCCGACCAGAAGAAACAGTGCAGCACAGAGTTACAGGCCATCTGCCCATCAGGACCATTGAGCGGCGGCAAAGCAATTCCTCCGTTTACAGCCAAACTAAACTAAACTATGTTTTATTTTACCAGGTAAGGCCCACTGAGCTATATAGCTCTTTGTCAGAAGCAACCTGGTCACAAATGAAAGCTCAACGAAGTGGCTTATCATACCCAAATTGACAGCAGCCGAATACAGTACTCTAAATCAGTGGGGTTCTTAACCTTCACTCAGCCTTGCACCCCTTTGGTTCTCAATTTGAATTTTTTTTATAATACATAGGTTTGATGAAACAAAGTAGTTGTACGTATGTGTCTCGTGCTTAATTTGTGTTTCGATGATTTACCTTCTAAAATAAAATCTGCCATGCCTCGCAACCCCAAAAAAGGGCATCTCGCACCCCAAGAGTGTGCGTGCACCCCAGGTTAAGAACACTGCTCTAAACGAATGTTTTTAAATGTAGAGGGAAAAACCGGAGTAGCTGGAGAAAAAGCCACACGACCACGGGGAGAACATACAAATTCCAAATATACAGGCGTCAGGATCGGGATCGAACCCATGACCTCCTGCATACCGGGCAAGGTAGTTAACATCTCGCCACCGTGGCGTCAGTGCCGTCGACTGGCAAAAGAACCCAGACATCAATTTCGAACATTTGTTGGTGAATTCCATGGATGAATTGCACCATGCCAATTATCATTATTGTTCCAAAATCATTCACTTATCTCTGTAAAACGCAGTACGAAAGAATACGTTTCAAGGTCTGCTTCAGGGTATGGCAGTGACACACGGGGGAATAAATGTGGAAGTGAGAGAAAAAGAAGAGGGTTCAAGGGCTCCGGAGGGATAGCACTTTTCACAGGGATTGCGGAACATTTAACCTCTCCGCTAGTACTGGGTCCCTCTAACCCATGGGTGAGAACAAGCACAACCCACAAACACTCGTCCTTTAACTTCTGATCTAACCAAGACCGTCCGATGCCCCCTGTTCAAGGCGATCCTGCCGACACAAAGCACGGCAGATCTAAAAAAAACATCCTCGATAACAAACAAGGAAGACAATGTCATAGATGGCAGAGGATGATCGTGGTTAGTGGATGCCAACAGCGGATATGGCAGAAGAAACACCTGTCATCAGAGCTGGCCAACTGGGCTTAAAGGAAAGGTTAATAAAAAATCAAGTGGCTATGCCACCAGTGTAGAGAAGAGCAGAGAAAGACCTAGAGTGAGATATAATGACGTGGGAAAATGGGATACGAGGACAGTGCATGTGACGAGAGGAGAAGCACAGAATAGCCGAACATGAAGAAAATAAATCTGAGAAGCTGACCTCATGCGGTAATGGGGCTTTTGGCTTAGAAAAAGGGACTGGAGAAGAAATATCAGCATTTGACATCAGGCCATAGCTAGATTGCAAGAGGTTATTCAGCCAAAACTTGGCATTTATGCACGAGACAATGACTTGTAGAGCACTCAAAATAATGTTGCAGGTTACACCAGGTATGCATTTGCGAAGGCACACAATTGCCAATGAAAAAATATTGATCTTTAATGCTTTTTTGCTGAAAGCGGCCTTCTTTCTAAAAACGCTTCTGAGTTGATTATATTGTGAATTTATATTTGCAGCAGAGTTGTTTACATATACTGCACTGTACATGTATTTATGGGTGGAGTGGTGGTGCAGTGGCGAGCTCACTGCGCTACGAACTAGGCAACCAGAGTTCGATTCCCGGCCACAGCTAACATCGGGAGAAAGCAATATCTGAACTGGTCGTGGGCACTCTTTCACCAACCTGCACTGACCAGGGTGGTAAAGTATGGTAAAACAACCCCCGACGACTAACATGACATGGGGTGGGGAGCTTTTAACCAGCAGCAGTATGACAAAGGACCGTTTTCATCATAATTAGACAAATGTATTCATAAACCACCTCAAACCACACAAACCTTACTATTGCCAAGTACGAAAGCATTAAACTTGTTTACTGTGATAGGCATGCATTGAAATGCGAAACCGTATAACCTTACGGGCTGTTTTCACCCTAGAGGACAAAACTATTTTGGTCTGGATAATTTTGTCACATTTAGCAATGAGAAACCGTGGTTCAGATGTCACTGTGGCCAGCACCCTCACAACTACAGTTATTTGTGGAGACGCAAACACAAGTATGCGGTGCCATGCTGCAGCACCAAATTAAAACGCTCGCTTTAACGTGGCATGAGTCAGGGTGCGGAGACCGTAAACCAATTATAAAATGTGCAGGAGTTACAACGACTTCTGTCGCCGCTTCCGTGGAGAGCGAAGCAATTACTTTAATACATTTAATTTTAATAACACAGTTTAAAATATGAGATTTTCGGTCAGCCTCGATGATGGCCAATACTTTTTTTCTGAGAGTCTCCCTGGGAGATCTTTAAGCAATGCATCGAGTATTTTTTTGTATGTGGGAGAAAACCGGAGTGGTTTCAGATATCTCCCCTACCAACAGGACAATAACTTACAGAGCAACCAATGATCTGCACAGCCTCCGCAAGGACATAATTTCCCTTCAGTACAGCTCAAACTATAGGTACAAAGTAAAAAAATTATAGGCACATGCCACCAAAGGGTTTGGTTTGTTTAAACTTACAATGCCAATTTATTTTAATTCATGCTCAGGCCTTTGTCAATGTATTGCTGGACGAAGGCCTCCCCACCCCGTGTTGGTCATGGAGGTTGTTCGATCATACTTCACCCTCCTGGTCGATATGCGTTGGTGAAAGACAGGGGGCTCAGGACTGGTGTAGATATTATTCGGCACTGATAGTAGCTTTGGCCAGAATCAAAATCCCATAGTGCCAGCACTTAATCCCCCTATTGTATGTCATACAATATACATTATATATAATAATTATCCATGGGTGGATTATCTGGGTTGCGGATTAGCCGTGGGTGCCAAAAAGAAAATGACATCCAGTAAGGGTGAACATCTCTTATCTGTGGCCCTATTAGCCATGATTCCTGTTATCTGTGAGAGCTGTAGGGTCCTAGAAAACTCCGATTATATCTGCGGCCCTATTTCTTCCTATTATCCGCGATTTAACCCAAAATATAAAGCGAAGCAGCTTCGTAATATTCACAATTTTTCACGGATAAGAGTCGCGACGTGGAAAATTGATGAGATTATCCACGGGGTTATTTGTGATAAGAGGAACGTAATCGCGGATAGCCCTGTGGGGAATAGGATCCATGATATTGGTCCCCTATATCACTGTGCAGGCGCCGGTTTAATAATCATTAACTGCTCCTCACCCGTCTGGTGCCATTGACTCGGTGGCCATGTGACAAACGTGTTGTCGGTAAGTAAACCGTTTAATTTTAAACCCAATAAAAACAGCTGACACATTTCTAAGTGTTGACCCGCTATTCTTGCCAAGTAAACAAAATGTGTTTTTTTAAGTCGACTTAAACATGTTTGTCATTTTCGGTGTTGTTTTGTTTAATTCACACCACCCTTCCACCACCACACCAAGGCCAACTCCACGAACCCTCGAGAGCTGCCTAAGGTATACAATAAAAGACAGTGTTATCTGCATTTCACCAACTCTCAGACAAAGCAACTGAATGGGCTAAATCGCTTACAACCGAGTCTAAAACATAAGCCATCACACAGAGAGAGAGCCTAGAGAGTTGAATGTAGCATATATTTAAAATAAATATATAAAACACACTGTACGCGGTTTTATTCGCGGAAGACGTTTCGGAAGCCATTCTGCAGCGTGCGAGTACAACAGGACTTTTCCCCAATGCAAAATACTTGGGAGCAGTGAGGACGACGCTTC